AAAATTAATAAGTATGTGATAAGATTTGCACAATAAAAATAATGTTGATGTAGTATATTTGGAAACTTGAACACAACAAATAGAGCTAATTTGTTCTTCTTGAGTACATGTGGTACATTCATAAAATTCGACTGTGTACTAGGTCATAAAGGATCAGCAGATTTGAAAGATGCCCCATCATGCAGAACATTCTCTGGCTACAGTGCAATTAAATTAGAATTATAAAAGGGATAGTTTAAAAAGAGGTAAATATATGGAAACATAAAAACCATTCTCCAGGAATTAAAGAGGAAATCACAGTGGAAATTCTAAGTTTGTTACAAAGGTTTGTTAAATAGCAAATTGTTAAGTATTTTATGTCAGGTGTATGGGTTACAAATAAGGTGAGAGGTAAAGAGAAAATTACCACTTTAAATGCAATAATGAAAAATTTAAGAGTGACACGAATTGAGAATTCAAGAAGCTAGAAAAGATACAGAATAAACCTCAAGAGAGAAGTAAATAATAATAATAGCACAAATTAATGAACTAGAACAAAGAAACTGTAGAACATATCAGCAAAACCAAAAGCTTTGAGAAGAAAAATTTTACAAAAAGCTTTTGTAAAACTTACAGACTAAGTCTGAGAAAAGAAAAAGTGAAAAGGTACCAGTAAACAAGGTTAGCAATAAAAATGGCAGTAATTGAAAATACGAGATAGTAAAATGCGTAAGAGAATATATTCTGCACTAATAAATGTTTAAGTCTAATGAAATAGTAATTCTGTAGAAAAGTTTAATTACCAAAATGGAGTCACAAAAACTTGAAAACCTGAATAAACTATTAAATAGTAATCAAAATGACACTTTTCAGATGACACTAGGCCCAGATTTTGGGGGGCACATATTATCAGCACTTCAATAGATGATTCTATTATAAATGAAAATTTTCAACCTTAGGTGTTTGTAAGCAAAAATTTGGACACAACCTAAATGTTCATAAGCAGGAGATCAGTGGTGGTAAATTATGGTATATTATAACATCGAGCTCTGTACAGCACCGAAAACAGGTAACCTAGAGCAGGGGTCGGCACATCGCTTACGGCCTGTTTTTGAAAAAGTCTGTTGGTGCACAGCCACGCTCGTTCCTTCAGTGTCGTCTGCAGCTGCTTTTGCCCGGCAGCAGCAGAGGTAAGTGGTCAGGACGAAGACTGTCTGACCACAGAGCCGAAAATAATTTACTGACTGACCCTTAACAGAAATTTGCCAACCCCTGGTCTAGAGCTGCATGTGTGTAAATTTCAAGAAGAAGAATGATGATGATGAATGAAAAATGGCTTATTGCAGAATAGTGTGTATCATATAGTTTGAGAACATGCAGAATACCTTGATGTATTATTTATAGAGGCCTCCGTATGTATAGTAGCATCAGACGTGCATTAGAGTCATCAGCACCAGACCCATGCTGGCGCTTACTACCGTTGTGGAGTGAAGTCGTAGAGGGGCTTCAGCAGTTTCAGTATTCAGCTTCAGCAAATGGGGAGCAAGTGGAGATGGCAGGACTTGACAAGTGACTGGATTGTGGGCTGTGAATGTTTTATTGCCTAACTGTTCCCTTTTGAACTTTAAAAAATACTTCATACTTTTCTCCGATGTGTTAATAATGACAAATGAGTAAGAGTTTAATTAATGAGAATGCTCTTAATATTTTGTTTCCTACCACAGATTCTTAAAAGTATTTTGTGTTGGAGTAACAGAAATGGAAGATTTCATACTTCAGTTTAATTTTACCAGGAATACTGTTTTGTTTTTTAATTTCGTTTATTATGAAAAGTTTCAGATGAGTAGAAAGGACTGTTGTTTATATGTATGATTCATCGACAGAAGGGCACGTAGGGTAACTAGGAGGGGTAACCTGAGCTTTTCTAGGCTTAGAATAAGCAGGAAGGCTGAGGCCTGGGCAAAAGGTGCAGTAAAAGCTAAGGATGGTAAAAGGCCCTTTGTTCAAAAACAAAGACAGCAAAGAAATACTTGACCCACTGCATGATGCAAATGGTGTCACTTAAAAAAATAACCGAAGAAAAGTAGAACTAGCACATATAATGGAAGAAGGAACACGATTGAGTCTTTCAGCTTTAGTCTCACCTCCTGTTAACTAGCTGTGTAACCCTGAAGGGTCATTTTTAACTTCTCAGGCCATTGTTTCCTTAAGGAAAATGTGAAGAAACAGTGAGCTTCAGTGATCGCACTAGTCCCTTCCCGCCTCTGATTTAGTATCCGGTGACTCCTGTTTTCAATCCGTTGTTTCTATCAAAAAAGCCTATATATATATATATATATATATATTCCAACATAAAACAATAAATGTGGTAAAGGGGCTCTGAGTAAGCTCAAGGTAGATGAAAAGTCATGAACAGCAGCCATTTCTTCAAGCCAGGAGGCCCCGTCTTCTCTCCAGACTGAAGTCCGTGGGGTCTTCCTCGCCTCAGTCTCTGTGCCTCCCGTGTCCTCCTCCTCGCATGCGCTCTAGCTTGAGGTGTGCTCCTGTGGTGCGTAGAGATTGCTTTTTCCAGGAAGGCTTCCCAGAGTAGTTTAGGCAAATTGGTGGATGGTGGAGCCTCTCGGTGCATTAGCCAGCAATGGGGAAAAGCAGACTTCGTTGGGAAAAATTGGTGTTTAGTTTTGAACACGAAATCTGATCAGGCGCGTCAGCTGGACACTCAAGTAGAAATCAGTAGTGGCTTCTCGAGTGTCCAGATCTGGGATGAGGAGGGGGATCTTGGTCGGGAGCGTGATGCTTTGGTAAGCGCAAGGGGCTTGAAGCAGTTGCTGTGGAGAATGAGATCAGGGATTGCTGGTTAGAGACGCGAGTTCTCAGGCAGAGAGAGCGACAGCAGCGGTGGCCGCTGCACGGCCGGCCGCGTGCCTTGTGTTCTCTCTCAGGCACTCCCCCTGCAGCCTAGGGTGGACGCCTCGGTGTTAGTACAGAGAAGGGAACAGTTGGCTTGATCCGGGTGGCTGTTCTGCCCGATAGATGTGACAGAAGTGCGGGATAAGTGTGTTAAGGAAGTTGGCAAGAAAATGGTTGAAGAGCTAGACCAAGAAATCTAGAACAGGGGCCGGCTGACTACTGCCCACAGGCCCTGGCCCACTGCCTGTTTTGTGTTGGTTTTTTTACACTTTAAATGCTTACATAAGTACCTAAATAATACAGATAATATGCCTCTTTTCTTTCCTGGCCCTCTGAGGAAATGTTTCTGTCCGATTCCTTATCTAGACTAAAACAGAATTATAGTAAAAACAGGATGAGACTTAGAGACAGGCCGAGGATTCAAGGAAGTTAAGGTCTCAGTAAGGTCTAGATACTAAATCCACTGGGACATTGGAGTGTGAGACCTGGAAGAGGAGGAGGTTGCAGTGAGAGGATTGTGAGTCAGAGACCTCAGGGCCGGGCAGATGTGAGTGACCGCCAGGTCCAGCTGTGGCCGTGGTAGTGGGGGACCAAAGTAGAGGGGCTGTGACCATCAGTGGAGTTGAGGTCAAGGAACTGAGGGCCCGGGTGTGGGGGAGTGGAGGGAAGGGAGCCTGGGAGTGTGCCATGCAGCTTGCCAGTTTGGGACAGTTAATACACCAACAGAATCAGATCCCTAAGTCAAGCCCCTAAAGGTGAGGGAAACCCAAGTGGAAGGCCAATATCATTAAAAAAAAATGGGGTTTGCTTGAGCAAGAGCCAGTATGGAAGAAGTGGCTGGTGAGTACCTGGCCAGTGAGTGTTGGGCCACTGTAGGGTCAGGACCCCAAGATGGCTGTCCTCGTGCTCTCTCTACCTCCTGCTCCACCTACACCTACTCAGGTGACTGACCTTCCTCTGTACCTGCCTCAGGCCCCAGCTAGTGACTGTTCTAATCTTTAGATCAGAACATCTCCACCTCGAGAGCTTATCGCAGGGGGCAGTGAGGGGCGGGGCGTGCCCCTCTGCTAGTTTCCCTGTAACCAATGAGTCAACCTGACATCAATTTCCCCTATAACTGGTGACCTCCCCCCTGCTCAGCAAAGACTGCTGCCCTGTCCTGCCCGCCTCTGCCACACACGGTGGGCTGTCACTCCAGGACCTTGCTTCAAACATGTAAGATTCCCCATCCATTAAACCGCTGTTTCTCCATCTCGAGGCTGGGCAGGTACAGGGCTTGTAGGCCTGTGGGGTGCAGCCCAGCATCAGCAGATGGAAGCATAGCACGTGATGAGTCACAGGAACTGGGGACAGGAGTTGGACACCGATCCCTGATGCTGTCAGGTGTCTCACTGGTTATGTGTATAGAAGAGGCACTTCCCTTGTTGCTTCAGGCCTAGAGGGCAGGACCAGCTGGCAGCTCTCCCTTGTGCTCTAGGGACAGGATCAGTGATGCCTTCATCTGTGAAGTCATTCATACAGGAAGACCAGCAGGTGGCAGGGCTGCTGAAAAGCTTCCTGATTAATGCACTCCAGGTCCTTTCTAATTGAGATTCTGTGATGATACAAGTGTGATACAGTTTTCCCTAAAATATAAAAATCCATTTCATTCACAGATGATCTTTCACCTCTGCTCCCTTCTCATGTGCTTCTTACTGAGCTCTGGCTGCTGCAGGCACTTCTGGGACCACAGAAGTGAGCAGCGCCCCTCGGTGGTGTGTGGTTTATCCATAGGGACCTCTCCTTTAGCCATTATTTCTTTTTATCTGGGAAAGTGGCAGCCTTACTTTTACTTTTTTATATTTCTTCTTCTGTCCTGACTTCAAGACCACAGATATAACATTACTATCTCTCAGCGTAAATATTTTATGGCATAAAAAGTTTAAGAAATCTAAATGAAGTCTTGGCTACTCTGTCCTGGGGCTCGTGCAGTAATGCCTCACAATGCAGTGAGTCCTCAGCAAATGTTTTTTGAATCGAAACCTTCCATTTCTGTACTAGCATAACCTGCACCTTTAGGTGGAACTTGAATTTAACGTGTTGTTTTGTGTGTGTGCTTGTTTTTTGAATAGTTGATGGATTTACAACTGAGCGACAGTAATTTCCGTCGGCATATCCTGTTGCAGTATCTCATTTTATTCCAGTATCTCAAGGGGCAGGTCAAATTCAAAAGGTAAGTTAGTATGGGTAGTAACTGGTTTATAAACAGCAGCGAAGAGAACGACTTGCTATTGTATTTTTCCCATGTATCAGGCTCATTTTGTGCATCAGGGTCACATCCCTGACACAGTTCGTCTGCAGCAGTATTAGATAACCGGGGCTTTTGCTAGAGATACTAGACGTTCAAGTATTTGTGTAGAGGAAGGGCATTGACTAGACCTGCTGTCGGTGGCTTTCCTGCTGAGCGCCGGACGTCCTGGGAGTTCTCGGCGTATTGGTGGGCGGAGGTCTCTGCTCCCAGCTTCCATCACTCCTCACCTCACTCACATCTTCTCCAAACCTGACTTGCAAAATAAGCCAATAATACTACTCTTACCAGGCGTGGGACTGTCTGGGACATTAGAACTGGGGGGAAAAAAACCTTTGAAGCATGGAGGCGTTCCAGTATCTTTGGGGTTGCAGAAAACCTAGGCAGGACCCCAACTGGCAGGCTGCACACCTCCGCCTGCAGCGCAGGCCGGCCCCTCTCTTCTGTCCGTAACTGAGCGGAGCTCGCGGGCACTGGATGGGGCTGCAGGTGCGCGGAGCCGTGCTGTTGACTGTGTGCGGAACCCGGCTTTCTCCCTGCGGGTTTTGAATCCCACTTTCATCACTCACTAGCTGCAGTTCAGCTTCCAGACGTGTGACTTGAAGATAACATTTTTTGAGTGCCTGCCATGTGTTGTGTTGTCCTTCTAGCTGCCGTGGAGGTTTCGAATAGCAGAGTAGAAAGATCAAGGACTCTGAAGGCAGACCTAGGTTTGAATTCAGGCTTTAGGCTTTGAGCCTCTGTAGTCCAATATGTGCACATGTCCTTGTTTTGAGAATTAAATGAGTAATGTATGTAAAGTTCTTAGAGCCTGCACATGGCAGTCTGTCAGCAGTCACTGGGTGGCTATAAAGCACCTAGTATCCAGTAAGAGCTGACTTAATGGCAGCTATTGACAGCTTGAGTTTGCCTTTAGCCTTCTCTAGGGCTTGGGGTTCTTATTCCTTGTATTTTTATTGCGTTTTAAAGGATCGTAGCATAACTGATTAAAATGCACATCCGGGAGAAGACTATGTTAACATTTTCTCCGAAGTTTTTGTCCCACATTGAACATCCTGTTTTAGGAAACATTCATTGCTCTGTCATAGTTAATCAGATTGATTCAGTGGATGTTTTATTCCCCTTTATACACCTTCATGTCTTCACTCTTAACCATCTTATCTGGAGGATGAAGTGCAGGAACTTTGTCTTGTAACCTCATTGTGATTGTTCATGGTAACTGTTGACACTGTTTACCGTACAGTTCATTTATCTGTTACATGCTTTGTGTTTCTTCAGGCAGTATAGAAAATTGAATGTACGTTGTTGTAACTCAAACATGCTTTTATTGCTTTGTTTCCTAGTTCAAACTATGTTTTAACTGATGAGCAATCACTCTGGATTGAAGATACTACAAAATCAGTTTATCAAGTAAGTTCATCACGCAACAAACCTATGATTGAACAAAATGGAAATTTAGAATTTTCTTTGTTTCAGCCCCAAATAGGAAAATAAGGATAAAGTTAAGCTCAGGTACAAGACCACAAACACTTCTTGGTTCTCTGCCTGCAAACCACTCCTATGATGCAGAAAGTTGTTGAAAGCTTAGTATATTCTTTCTAATCACAGCTACTATCTGAAAACCCCCCCGATGGAGAAAGATTTTCAAAGATGGTAGAGGTACGTGTTTTCTATTTACATAGTCTTCTTAGCACCAAGTAGAGTTTCAAAAGCTTCATTATGCAAATGTAACTTGTTTTTCCCAGCATATATTAAACACTGAAGAAAACTGGAACTCATGGAAAAATGAAGGCTGCCCGAGTTTTGTGAAAGAAAGGTAAATATATATTCATTCATCTCAAGCAATGAGAAGTTCATTTCAAAAGGTAGTTTGATATGATTATTTTACATTACAGATATGCATAAATGTATTTCATGTGAAAATGTAAACTGAACTCTGTAAAAATACAACCACTTTGATTTACTTCTATTTGAATTTTTTACCTCAGATTTCTTATTACTAACTTCCCAGGACATACTGATTATTAACTATTGGGAGAAAAATGCTGTGTACCCACACTTGGTAATTTGCCCCCTGGTGTGGCAAACTTGTCTTCTCTCTGACCAGTGTATTAGTATGAAGCGTTCATCTTTTGCAAGAAGAAAACAGTAACTAAATTTTCTTTGACATTGAACACTCTTCTGTCTCTACTATCCATTTGAAATTCAGTATATTTTGTTCACCACAGAACATCGGACACCAAGCCAGCAAGAGTGGTACGGAAGAGAGCAGCGCCAGAGGACTTTCTGGGGAAAGGGCCCAGCAAGAAAATTCTGATGGGAAAGTAGGTTTGCCGTCCCTGTATGTGGCATGTTTTTGTAGTTGCTTTTATATCTTGAATGTATTACAATAAGAATTCTCCACGTTCTGTGTTTTTCCAGTTTTTTTTTTGGTATGCGCGTAGGTGACTAAAGCAGACCACAGCCTGTCAGCCCGCAGGGCCCTTCTGTGGGTTCCTGCAACTAGACAGACTTCTGTTTTGTCTCTGGCTTCTGACATCGTGGCCCTCGGCTCTGCCGTTTCTTCCGTGTCACAGGCAGGGCTGTTGCTGTCACAGTGAGCCAGTGCGCTTCGAGGTGTTGCATGGTGCTCTAATCCTTGCGTGTCTTTTACCTTCCAGTTAACTGTTCATTGCTTTCTGCTGCGCTTGAATATGTCCAGAAAAAAGTACTGGTTATCAATTTTCATTAAATATTTGCTCACATAGAAAATTTGCTAAATACCAAAAAATGAAGAAATTAAAAATACTTAAATAGTGAATTTTGGGATGGTGATGAGTTTTATAGTGTGTTACAGTATAAGAGAATGATTTCCACAAAAAAGTATTTATTTATGTGTCTGTTTTGTAGTGAGGAGTTAACAAGGCTCTGGAATCTCTGTCCTGATAATATGGAAGCCTGTAAATCAGAGACAAGGCAAGTTTAAAATGTTTCATATGAAGTACTGCTTTTCTCAAATGTTATCTAGAGTGGAATTTTTTTGTCAGCTCTAAGCAGGGCTCAAAAGAAATTTTAAAGTATATTGTGGTTGAGAATAAGGCTTTCCATAAAACACCAAGAAGTGCTGATAATTGTAGAAATCACAAGAAACAAGGATTCACAAAAGAAGAGGGAACTAAAAACCAAGTGTGAGCTAATGTGGTTGCTTCTAGCTGGGGAGCAGTGCAGGTGACCCCCACTTTGGGGAACCGGGGAGCTTGGGTTTTAAGAGCCACAAAAGGACAGAAAGGCAGGCCTTAGTCTGTAATTGAGTTTCCCCTGAGTAAAGCTGACACGCTGCACTGCCTGTACAGGAAGGGTGGGTGGGAGCAGAGGGCCTTGCTCACGGGCACCGGAAACGGGCGCCCGTCCGTTCCTACCTGAGCTGAGGGCGGAAAGGAAAAAGGATTCCCTGAGAAACTAACCACAGGTCTGCTGTCATGCAGTCTCAGAGTCTAAACTTGTACAACCAGCAGGGTAAAGGAACACCCCCAAGCTAAGAGGGTGAACTGCAAAGTCCCACGGTGATGATAGAAATAACCAGGGTCACACCTTCAACCTAAGCCACACATGGATTCTACATGTAAAAGTCTGAAGATACGTGAACCATTCACACTTCATAAAGCATTCAAGAAAACAAGCCACCATAACTGGGAATCAGCAGATAGAACGAGCAACCAGAGTCAGGTAGCCACTGCAGAAAATAAAACCCTCAGATAAAGGCTCAACGTAAGTATACTAAAGATAATTAAAAACATGAAAGAAGGAACTGAAAATAAAGGAACATGACACTCTCAAAAAAGGACCAGGCAAATTTGAAAAAACAAGTAATTCTTCTAGTGATCGGAAAATAGTCATTTTGTACAACACAAGGAATATAGCCAATATTAAGTAATATGTAAATGGAAAGTAACCTTTAAAATTATATTAAAAATTTTAAATTTTAAATTTTTTAAATGTGATAAATATTAGAAGAAAATATAATCACTGAAATTATAAAATTTAACAGGTTAAATAAAAGACTAGACACAGATGAAATAAGAATTAATGATTAAGAAATCACCCAGAAAACAGAAGGATCAAGAGTTAGAAAACAGGAAAGAGTAAAAGTAAGAGGAGGTCCAGAATCTAAGAAGCAAATAAGAGCGAATGGCAGTGTCAAGGAGGTGAAGACCAAGAACTTTTCAGAACAGGCATAAACTAAGTTGAAGAAGTACAGGTCTTAAGTGGGATAAACAAAATAAATCCATGTTTCTACAACTGTAGTAAAGTCACCAGACAGAAAAACTAGACCACTGTCAAAGAGCAAAATTAGCCAGACAGCAGGCTTCAAGAACGAAAGAAAGCAGGAGACAGCAGAATGACAGCTTCCAAGTGTTGAAAGTATCAACTCGGAATTCTGTAACAAGTTAAACAAGGGGTCAGGCAGGAGCGATTGAGAAATAGTTACTTTCAGACTAAAACTGAGAATCTGTCAGCTGCAGCCCTTACTAAAAAAAGCTGAAAGAAACTGAACCCAGAAATAAGATGCAAATGCTCTGAAACCCCTGGCTGCCCCATGATCAGCAGCGTGGCCACACGTACCCGTGTGTGACGCGGCGCGTCTCATGTTGCAGGGACTGCAGTCTGTGGGATGGTGTGGTGCCACCTCCCCTCTTTATTGTCTCCTCTGAGAAGTTTAGAGTCTCCTCCTTAAAAATCTGAGTTCCTAAGTAATCTAACTGTAACTCAACATGTTAACGCTAGAATCTTACTGCCCGCACTGTATGAGTATGACATACACACATGATCCTCACTAGTTTGTTTTTTTTTAACGCCCAGGGAATACATGCCAACGTTAGAGGAATTCTTTGAAGAAGCCATTGAACAGGCAGACCCTGAAAACATGGTTGAAAATGAATACAAGTAAGTGATGAGTCTCATGAGCTAATTTTCTCCATTTTTTCTTATACACTAGAACAAGGCAGCTGATAAAAGAACAGTACTTTTCCTCTTAACATGAAGTTGGCACGTAAACTCACCTAACTGCACATCCTGATTTCAGAGACCCTTCTCATGGACTGACAGGCATGACTTAGCATCACGTTTGTTTCAAAAAAGTAGGAAGATCTCCCTTGAGCCCGCCTGTCATCTCTTTTCTCTGTTCCTCTCCAGAGCATAGTGTCTCCCGACAGCTATTGGCAATTACTGCCTTCACTTCCTCACCTCCTGGCCTCTGGCCAGCCCACTGCTGCTGGGCTGTCTCCCAGTCACTCCACTGAAATAGCTTTTATTAATTCACTTCTCTTCTGACCTCTCAACAGCAATCCCAGTCTCTCCCTCCTTAGATGACGTTTTCTTCCCATGACACCATCAAGCTATACCCTCCTGTTGGTTTTCCTTTTGCTTCACTGTCAGTCTCCATTGCTGGCTCCCCATCTCCCAAACTCTCAAAATCTCGAAATAACTTCAGGTGTCAGTCTTAGCTTCTTCCTTTGAATCCAAGTGACACCACACAGCCCTGTGGTTCTGAACAGGTGTCCGCATTGGGCAAGGGCCCTGTTGTCAGCTGCCCTTGGTTCGTCCTGGGACTCTTCCACTTGCTAGCTAGGGTTCTAAGGGCGATTTAACCCCTCTCTGCTTATTTCCTCTTCTGTTAAATGGTAATAGTACCTATTTCATGGAGTTATTCTGAGGACTGAATAAGATGGTTCACTTTGAACCCTGCACAGTCGAGGGCTGGTTTTTCCCTAGGAAGACGCCAGCACATCTCAGTGGTAACATGGCGCATTTATAATAGATGACTAATAAAGGAGGTTACTACTCTAAGAACGTGGGGCAGGGGGGATTCCAAACAACTTGTAAAAACTCATAAGTGGAACAGATTTGTACTCTGGATTCCCTGTAGCTCGCCTGATTGCAGAATGTTATCTTTAGAATTTCTCTGAGGTTCTTCTTTCTCACCTTACTGTGCACCACCTGTTAACCTCATTAGGGAGCAGCTCGTGGGTTGTTCTTGGCATCACTGCATACTGCACTGGCTGCTGGATGTCTCCCTTTTAGTTGTGGAGATATTTTAACAGGTTGATGTTGAGCAAATTCAGATGTTATGTATAAAAAGCATATATTGAGTAAATCAACATGGATTTATAAAATAGTCTGAAACTCTCACCTTTCAGGTGACATTGCCAGTATGGATGTCGGCTCACTGAACATGGTGAACCTGTGACTCACTCTCTCTAAATGACTAGGGAGATGATGTCTGTCCTGCACACACAGCGGCCAGCCTATCCTAGACGCATACTCAAATTGACCTCTTAAAATTAAATGACATGTATGTAACTTTTAAAACGTGTTTGCTGCATCTGAGCCTGCCTCTTTGGATTCTGTAGATTTCTATTTGTAAGTGAACTGCATACTGAGAACGGCTTTAGGATGAATGACTGCTGCCGACCTGCGAGTGTAGAATTTCACGTGGTGAATTATATTGACTAGATGGGAATATAGATATAAAAACTATAAATTTAAGACTGACTTTTTTTTATAGGGCTGTGAACAATTCAAACTATGGTTGGAGGGCCCTGCGACTGTTAGCTCGGAGAAGCCCTCACTTCTTCCAGCCAACCAACCAGCAGTTTAAAAGTTTGCCAGAGTATCTCGAAAACATGGTAATAAAGCTAGCCAAGGAATTACCAGTAAGTGATCATGTAGTTGGCTTTTACCTTCTTTAAAAGTGTTATAGCTGTTTGCATAAGAGTTGAATTTAGCATTTCATGTGAGAAATAAAAAGATCCACAAACCCTCTTGTTTTAGAACAAGGGAAAAAAAGCATTTGAGCATACATTTATAGGAAGTACGTAAACTGATAAAATAAACTTGACATGCTGTGAAAAAATTAAGTCCACAACACTTTAGACTTGCTTCTATTTGCAAGTGCATTATAGTTTATCAAACGACGGGGCCTATGGGGTAGCAGTAGGCAATCTGGTCTGTCTGTCTACTCTGTCGTCTTTTTCAGTACGATATGGTAATAACTATACTGTGTGCACAAAACCTAGTAAAATTATCAAACTTTTTAAGGACACAGTTCCTCCCTCAGTCTGCCCAGATCACTGTTACTGTGTGCTAGGTGTTTGAGTCATCTTACCATACATTTTGCTGGCTCCCTTCTTCCCAGGTCAGGGCAGGGACAGTCTTTACAACCTTCTGGTCTTCCCGTCCCTCCTTCTCCAGGTTCACACCGTCCCATTGTGATCCTTACCTGACACTGACACCTAACACTCCGAGGGGTACGGTTCTGGGCCCTGTACTTGGTATCTAAATAAGAAGTTTCCCCAGTCTTTTTATTTTAGAAGTTGGCATTCTTTTAAAACATTCTTACTCATTCTTACTCATTTTAGCCTCCTTCTGAAGAAATAAAAACAGGTGAGGATGAAGATGAGGAAGATAATGATGCTTTACTGAAAGAAAATGAAAGTAAGAATTGAATTTTCTTGGCTATTTTACAAAATTGGAAAAGATTGGGGTTCTTTGTTGAGAGGTACGTTATTTGATTTGATCTACTTCTCAACTTCTACTATTTATCTCAGCTCTGTGATAGTGAGGATTCTAACACATTACTTGATAACAACATTAAAAATACTACATTTTATACAATAAAATTTGGAAGTGTTGGGAAGGAAGGTACTTACATTTGAAGGCAACTCATACCTCTGTTATTCTTGGGTTTAGATCAGGGGCAGCTGGTCAGGAGAAGCCTTCATAATTATAACAGCTTTCGCTTTGGTTGATTCCCTAATGATGATGATTATAAGAATGGTAATTCAACCCACAGAAAATATAAAAAGCAGCTGTTTTACTTAGAGAGCTTATTAGAGGTGATTAATATCTCAGTGGCCCTGTACCGTCCCAGTTCCCTTAAACACTCTGAATTGCACATGCCCTCGTACCTTGTTCATAATTCACATTTCCTGTGTTTTCTAGGTCCCGATGTTCGGAGAGACAAACCTGTAACGGGGGATCAAATAGAGGTATTTGCCAGCAAACTGGGTGAACAATGGAAGATTCTGGCTCCCTACTTAGAAATGAAAGACTCAGAAATTAGACAGATTGAGTGTGACAGTGAAGACGTGAAGATGAGGGCAAAGCAGCTGCTGGTGGCCTGGCAGGACCAGGAGGGGGCGCACGCAACGGCCGAGAACCTGATCAACGCGCTCAACAAGTCTGGGCTAAGTGACCTTGCAGAAAGTCTAACTAATGACAACGAGACCAATAGTTAGCTTATTTTTTTTATTATTAAAACTGTGATAAGATTTTGTTACCAAGCAGCATTTGATAAGAGGTCCACTGGTTTTGGTAAACAATAAACATTTTTATAATAGTTGTTGCACAGTTGGCTGGTGCTCCCAAGAACAGCAGAATGCGTACTGGCTCTTGATGACTGACCTCAGGGTTTGAGGGTAGGAGAGAGTAGGCTGGGAAAATGGCCAAAACAAAGTGACCTCAAGGTCACATATTTTTTGTTAAGTAAGTTAAATGTATTTGTAATGAAGTCAGTAGGCGATATTTAGGGGCATGGTGTTTCCTAAAATACACTTTGCCAGACCAGTTCCTGCACACGTGAGTAGTTAGTTAGAAAACTTAAACTTGCTATCCTGAAAATCCCACAAGCCTTTATGAAACTGTATGACTGCTCTAGTCTCGTTTACACTTTTAAAACAGGGGATCAAAGAGTGGTGCGTTTGCCACCTATTTTTATAAGTAAAATTTGAACGGCACAAAGCCATGCTCTTTAAAACTGGCCATACCCAGGCTCCAACAGCAAAGTTAAGTAGTTACAACAAAGGTTTATGGCTGCAAAGCTTAAAAAACATTTACTGTCCTGCCCACTGCAGAAAGTATTTACCAACCTGCAACTTTAAAAGAAATGGGGTGAAGTCTAAAACCTAGTTCTTTTGGTCTTACAAAACTTATTTTAACCTCTCAAGTTAATAAAATAGGGATGTACATACCTCAGGGTCTGTGTGAAGTTCGAATGAGCTGTACGAGAAAGCGCTCCGTAAACAGCAACACGCTACAGAGTAGAGGCTGCAGACAGGACCGCCTACCTTCCCACTCCCACAGAAGTGCCACCCCTTAGGGCTCTAAGATTAGATCGCTGTGGTTTTGAATCCTGAAGGAGGGCTGCTAAGTGCCTGGTACACTGTCCGTGTTCTCACTCGGGCTTTACTTCGCTAGCCAGTCCAGCAGTGACCCAGCACAGCTCCGGCCGCGGCAGGGCCTCGGTGCTAGTCACGCTCAGGAACCGACATCTCCTTGCTTATTCTCCCCTTTCACAAGATCTTAGATGCAAGGCTGAATTCTAAACCAGCCTTAACAGTTTAAAACACTAGTATTAGTTGGACTTAATACTAGTGTTTTAAACTGTTAAAGATAAGTCCAATTCCTTACACTTCAAAAAATCTTTGGAATTATGCCTTTTTGGATCAAATAAAACAAAGTCAAGTATTTTGTAATCACAATTAAGGAATTAACAGATTTAAAGTTCTACTTCCATACAAGGTTTATTGTATACTTTGTTCTAACTCTACCTGATCTAGTAGCTACAGCGTCCTCCAAATTAGAAAATCTGAATTCTAATTGCTAAATTTACGTCCTCAAAATGGTTCAGACCAAGTAAGACAGTGGATAAAAAACTACGCCAGTTTACAAGCATCATACCAATACATAAAAGGATCACTACAATTCTTAGTCTCATCCTCCCTAATCTGCACCCTTCCCCAAGGCAAAAGGAGTACTGATTGCCAGTTATTACAGTTTAGCTGAAGATATTTACAAATAAGTTTCCCTGAAATGCTTTTTATCCCCTAGTGTTCTCAGATTATGTCACATTGTTCAAACTTGAGAGGAGAATGACCATTATTCTCTAGGAATCTAATAGTTACCAGTGCTGTGCTCCTTAGAGCATTAAAACTGCATAATCAAAGGTGAGATTTCATGATAATCCCAAAACTTTATTATAAATATCTAACTCAATGAAAACCAGATAAGTGAGCTGATAGTCCATCCTTTCAAGACTCCCAAAAGTGGACTGACTAGACCATATTAAAATGTAAGAAATGTACCATATATTGAAATATCTCATACACTTGGTATTTCTACCATCACTGTTAAAGATCACTAATATTAAATTTTGAGACAGACATTAAGAATTTGGGAGTTGACAAGAGCAGCAGAAACACCCAGCTGAGCCAAGGAACAGTTCTGATGACATGGTTGCATTCAGCATCCAAAGAACTCCATTACTTTTACAACGCTGTATCTCTTTTTAAACAACATAATGCTAGCAGGCAAAGACAGCATTTTTAAATGATGCTTAACAGCAGTTAAACTAACCACCTGCAGACACTGTATAGTATTAAACATATCTGACCTTCAGCCAAGCTCCAACATTCAATAGACAAAAGACTTGAGGTCAAAAGCTGTTAGTCCCTCTTTTTTTTTTTTTATTATTAAATACCCTCATTTTCTAAAAATAAGCAACCAGAGCTTCTCGACATTTTTTTTTAAGGTTGATTACTACAAAACCATTGCAAAGTTAAACGTACAGACCATAGTACATCAGAGACACGGTAATAAATGTATAATCGAATGTACTATTAGTGATCACAATTTATTTTTACATCATGAGGAGCCAGCAACAGCCAGGCTGGGCAAATACTTGATTGTACCCATGTTTCCATGGGATGGGGACAGCAGCACTGAGTTACACAATGAGATCAACACTTACTTCCTTTCCACCTTCCTGGCAAGATTTTTGTTAGATAAGGCAAAGGATGGGCAGCTACTGAATCACCGGCAGTTTGAACCATGCAAGAACAACACATAATAGAGGAACAGGTGTGCAACAAACATCTGACTGCTGAACCTTGGGCTGAAAAAGGCAGGGAGAAAAATGATCACACAAGGTCATAGTTAAAAGGCAATTCAACTCAATTTAAAAATTAATCCAAGAAATAAGCTTTTAAAAAATGTCTTCCTGTCACCTTTACACAGGACAGCACAGTCCAAAGGCAATTTTCTCTTTTCTATAGTATTTTAGGTTGATACATGGAGCAGTCTGCTTCCGCCCTGTTTTGTTCCACGAGAGGAAACACAAAACCACCTAAATATCTTCCTCTAAAGCTCTGGGTTATAGAAATGATCAACAAATAACATTTATTTCACACCTAAGCATAAATAGCTAAAATGAAGATTACTGTTCACTTTCCTCTTCCATTATTTCAACTCTGCGAGGCCCATAGAGGAGAACATACGCTATGTGCCAGTCTCCACCGCCAGAAAGCCGCAAGATATCCTCTGGTGTCACGATGCTGACCTTGTCGTCATCAAACTTAATCCATTCATCTAAATAAAAGGAAAAAGGAATCTCATGTGTGATTTTTCCCACTTCAAAAAAGGTACAGGGTGACATGATGCACCGCGTATTCCAACTGTCACAGCACAGTCCTCGGTGTGGTCCAGAGACTACTCGGGTTCAAGATCTTTCCAGGGGTTCCATGAAGGTTACAGCTATTTTCAGAACACTACTAAAGCACTGCCTGCCTCTCCCCCCTCCTTCCCTGTGGTGTGCTTTGGAATTCCCCAGGTTACACGATGCGTGATAAAGCAGCAGACAGGACGCAGAAACAATACAGGTGTCTCCCATTAAGCGGGACAAAACAGACTTAGAAAAATGTAAATCAGTACCATTTCTTGCTATTTTCTTTTTGCTTTGGAAACTACTGTTATTCTTTAAATGTTAGTTATGTTAATATGTAGAGTTCATTACTGTCAGTTTTAAATGAATTTACTTCTCAGTTTTAATTTCTATTACAGTAAACATTAAGAGAATCCTCATAGACAAAACTCTTTGGGATCCTCAATAATTAAGAATGTAAAAGGGGTTCTGAGACCAAAAAAACTTGAGAACAAATGTGCTATAAGATTCAAACTAAACGAACTATTGAAATAGTAGGTAATGAGAATCTTTACCTTGTTTCCTTTTCACCCAAGACACATAATGGCCTGAAGAGCTAGACCTTCCCTGGTGTGTCAGCACAGCTTGTAAGTCATAGTAGCCACAGTTATTGGAGCCAATGTCTAATGAAAGATGTAAATCCAGTAACATTAGACAAACAGGTATGTCCTCTCTCAAGCTAGGTTATCAAGCAAGAACAACTCAAGTTTATCCATTATTAAAATCCAGTAAGACACTACCATCCAATTAAAATTAAAGCTTTGTGAAAGATGTTTTAAGAAGCATGGTATCATTCATAGAATGTATATTCACTTAAAAGAGTGATTTTTACTATGCCATATTAAGGTAAATTGTACTTCAAGACAACTTAATTTTACCTTTAAAAAAAAAAAAACATTACACAGAGTAACTCAATTGAAATGAAGATTTCACTTACCATCAGCAAAAGAAAAGGGTTCATACTTAACTTCCTTTTGGGGGCTATTCTTTTTGTCACTCTGAGGAGAAAAAAACTGATTTTAAATTATGGGAAATAAAATTTATATTCTCAGTGAGTATGAAACATGTAAATCAGCTGTCCCTTATCAGAATCTAAAATATGCAATTTATCAAATACAAAGTCGCTACAGTTACCATTTTAGCAGTTACAAGTACACCAGCAGCACTTACTAGAAGATACCACTTAGCTGTCAAAGTGGGCATAAATGAACCAATGCTCTATCCCGTCAATTCCATTTTAAAAATGGAGGTAACTCCAGAACATATAAGGAAAATAATAAAACACACTGAATTTTACAAGGCAAGATTTTATGTGAAGTGCTCTGATGAGATACATATAAAAGGAATATAAACTGCAGATTTTAGGGGAAAAAATATGAAGTTTTTCCTACCATAAAGGACCCATTTACCATAGGTAGAGTTCTTTTAATTATACTAACATATACCTAAAACTTTAAGGGCTTACACCAATACATGAAGGATTTGCACATATGCTAAATACAGGTTCATCCACTCTTACTAACAGATTAACAAAGTGAATGCTCAACACTGACTGAAGATGAACACACTAGGGTTAGAAAGTGAGCAGTAAGAACCTACTGTCTTTGGTTGCTGATTTACTTTTTTATCTTCTAGATCCTTGAATTTTGATCGAAAAGAAATCATTTTCTCTTGAAGTTCCGGTGTACACAGTTCGTACACATCCAACATAAGAGGAAATTTAACATCCTATATACAAACCAAAAAGAAAAAAGCATAAGCAGACCTACGAAGGTAGGTATTTAAAGTATCACACTTTTTAAGTAGTGCTTTAATATTCCAATAAAGTTGAAAGTAAGGTCTGTAAAAATCACCTGGAAATCTACGCAGTTGAAAATATCAGTGTTTATTTTCAGTCTGGTCCTAACTCTTAAGATAAAAAAATTTTTAAACTTTTTCATTAAACATTTTAACCCATGAAACTGACACAGAGGAGTTACCAAAATTTATACAACAAAAGAAGCATTTCAGGAATACTAGACTAGTAGCTACTTCAACTGCATTTACCCTGTTCACACAATACTAAGTATATCCGAAAATGTATTATGAATTTCATAATTCAGCCTCAAGGATCAGAGACTCTAGGATACACCACAGAGGTACAGTTCAACAAAGCAGACAAGTCATAAGGCTGGCTCCTTCATCAAGAGGTTACAATTTAAGTACTCTTTGGGCACCAGTAATTTAACATTCGTTTCACTTGGAAGAAAGAAACCACCTAGAATAGAGGGTGTTGTACTGCCCCTTACCCTACCCCCATCCCCAAACCTACTGGACCAGTATCTCTGGAACTGAGGATCTGGTCTGGAGTAGTCTTTCTGGGGAATGGAGGGCATCCATAGAATTATCTGGGAATCCTTTGAAAAATACAAGACCTCAGCCACTTAATCAGATGCTTGGTAGAGGCTCAGGGGCAGGCACGTGTGTAATTTAAAATAAAAAGGACAATAGACAATTCCAATACACATTCTTGGTTAAGAACCACTTGTCTAATGTTAATAAAGTCCCTATTTATGGTATTTTGAAGTGAGTTTATCCCTAAAAAGAATACAGAAAACCTACTGTAAATTAGGAATTACCTTCAAAGAATTACAGTATTTTACTATAGTGAAGTTCACTACTAACCTTAAGAACTTTAGCATTCACAGATTCCTTCTCTTTGTAAAAAAACCGAACCATCTGAATGGTCAAGTAAGCAGGTAGCCGGCTGATCTTGGACTGAGAAGAGAAAATGGAGATTTTATTACATGCAAATACCATGTAAATTTTTAATCTGTTGGTTTGGTAAAAAACAAAGACTGGGTAATAATAATTAACTGGAAACCTTTCAACTAAATGGAATTTGATTTTTAAAGGAATGTACAACTTACAGATTTGATGTACAAAGCATTCCTTTGCAATGTTGGAGATTGTTTGGTGATTTCTTCCTGAAGTCGCTAAAAAAGAACATAACAGAAGTCCAAACATTAAGGAATCTTTTTCTGCAACATGGAATCACACCTTTAATTCTTTTAAAAATCAATTCTACTCAGTAGACAAGGTACGGTATGCCAATGGATTTATACCCCTGAGAAATAATTTGAATGAAGACAATGTGGGAAGGCTTTCAGATTTGTGATTACTAATTACATTACTAAAGCAATCACCACGGAGTAGCTTTCTAACATTTAACCAAGTTTATTCAGCAACAAAGAGGTAAAAAAATGTGGAGCCAAATTACTCAAGAATGAAACAAATGATGATAAAGCATCTAAAAAGTCCAATACAATAAATATAACATCTCATGAATACATGTTTTTCAAGAAAGCGTATCTCGTGTGATATTACTCATTAGGTAAGCTGTATGTCATCACCAATCCATGATCATCTAGATGTTTCAAGTATATTTAGTTTTCCAGGAATTTTATAAAAGCATGAAGAATACATCACCCTGAAGAGTCCCTGTGGAAACACTCCATCGCACACTCTCCAATTAACATCTGTACGTCAGGTTCTGAGGCCCTGAAACCTGAATCATAAGTTGTCGTAGGACTCTTGGTGGTGAGCTAGGATCTGTACACTTTTAAAGGGAACTGCTCTTAAATGCCATCATGCCTCACAACTCTCCCCTCAGTATCACAGGGCAAACAACAGCACCATTTATCTACCTGCCCCATAGAGACACATTTACAAACGCCTCCCTCCCCCAACCACTCTTACCCCCAACTGTAGATGGGAACTCCCCGATGACAAATTCATCTTGTTTATCAATATAATCCCTTCCCCAAGTCACTGCCTACCCTTCAGGAGATGTACATACTCCCCCAAACCGTATCAAATAAATGTTAGACCAGCAAAACGGTTCTGTTTTATCAACCTACTCACTGCAGTGTATTCTTTAGTGTGGCACTGGGGAAACAGCACTGACTGAACAATGAGAGAGGCAAGTTCCAGACCTGGCTCTGCCCCAACCCAATTAAGTCACTTAAACTCTTGGACCAGCTGCAACACTAGTGCACCAGCACCGGGACTACACAGCCTCACCTGCACAGCACCACCTCAGTGTACACCTCACAGTTACTAACACATCCTCATTGCAACACCCTCAGAGGCCGCCTTCACGCCTCCAGGCACAACACTGCTGTCAGCCAATCAATATACAACCTCGTTTTATGTGTTTCCACTATTTAATGACAACTTAACATACACTGTTGACCAACACTGAACTCACGGCCAAGTACACTACAACTCATCCTGAATGAAGCTCATCTAACAAACGTTATTTTCTCTTTATTACACATCACAGCCTCCCGCACCTGGAACACCAGACAGCCTTCAGCACTATGCCTGAAGGCCATTTTAAACAGCAAGATACCAACAAAAAGCACAAACATGTAAAAAATGTGGCACTAAAATTACTGCAAAAAGGACGCTTGTTTATAACATGAGCACTGAAACAAGAAGGCAGAGCACCACCTTTTGAGACCTCAGGTGGGACAGAGTGAGTCAGGGATCTCAAAATGTTTGCCATTCTGAGCACGTCTACAAATGGCCATGAAAGCACCGTGAGTACAGATGCTGGCGTTACAAATCAATTTTAGCAAGTAGGTGCATTTACAAATACGGAACTACAATGTGGATGAAGTGTAACTGTCCTTACCAATTTAAGTCCTGTAAAAAGATACTTGACTTCTTGATTGATAAAACAGCTAAGCTGCAGCTGATTTTCCTTCCCTTTAGTGACCTCTTCTTCTTCAGATTCTGTACATTTCATGCTTTTGCAAAATAAGATAAGGAATAAACCAAGAGGCATTCAATTTCTTATATAATCTTGAATATAATAAATTATCCTAATGCTATTAAGTGTAATAGCATCATTCATTGGTATTTAAAACATTCCAGTTTCCCAATAGAGATTCATTTCAACATACTTAAAAACGCTCATTCACTTATCAAGAGGACGGATTAGTGAATGTGTGTAAAAGGATACACTCTAAACAAATATAAGCTGATTTTTATATAGTCTTAAAATGGTCCTAACAACCCAAAGAAACAGAATTCTAAGTAGCTACTCATGTCCTAGAAAACAGTACTCTCCTAAATTCATGTTTTATTAATTGCTTCAATCTCATATATATCATTTAGCGGATTTACTCCATTTCATACAATTAAAAATTAATTCTCTATGAGGTGAATTAATGAGGTACTCCACTAAAGATGTTCTTAGGAAAAAATAATGAGTATCCTTAAAGGGTACATTTACCTAAACTTCAAGATCACTCTAGTGGTATATTTTTCCAAATTCCTGATTACTATGTAATTTTTTTAGGCATAAAAATGTCCTGAAGACTTTCTGTTCATGCCCCACCCACCACTCCAGTCAATGACTCTGTTTATACCAATTCACTAATCAGTTATAGTTTATACGAATCTTGGCTCATAAGGATACGTAGTTTCAAACTCGACTCCGAAGAACTGATCAATTAAGCTTTTCTTTTTAGAAGGCGTCACCGCTGATGCAGATGAAGAATCTGTCTGCAAAAATTAAGATGAAACAAAAATTCAATTTTACTTTACACAGATATGAATGTACATTTCCTCCCACACAATCCAGTTTAGTACATACATATTTAAGCTTTTCAAAAATAATCCCTTTCTGTAAAATATTAGCAAAAAACTGTTCAATATTAGCAAAAAACTACAGATCCTCAACAATCTCAGCTGATTTAGTTTAGCAAATAACAGAGTGAATTTAAGCATCAAATGCAAGCTTTCAAATTCCAAATACAGATGTAGCATCTAAAGTATTCAGGTACATGTCTGTCTATTAGGATGAATTTATTTCAAGCCTTTCAGAAGGGGAGAGATGGAATATCAAAGTCTAAAGAAGGTCTATAATCAAAAGTGTATTTCAATTACCTCTTTAACAGTATCATCCTCTATGGCTTCCAGTTTCTGTTGCAATACTCTCATCATTTGTATCCAACATTCATTAGCATCCTGTAATTTAAAAAATGGCACAGTAAGTAATCCTGGCTGTTACAGTGTTCGCTCTATAAAATTATCCCAAAATAATGACTGTTTCCTTTGAGAAGGGGAAGAAAGTTTTTTCCTTTAAAAATACTAAGCCAAATTAGATATTATGTGGTCTTCAAAACAACGAAGAATTCCAGAATAGTTTATTGATTCATTCAAGAGATGTTTAGTGAGTCCTAATTATGCTGAACACTATTCTAGACACTAGGAATACATAGCAGTGAAAAAAATAGAAAAAGTCTTAATGGGGGACATAAATAAACAAAATATAACACAAATTCAAGTAAAGAGAGTGTTACGAAGAAAAAAAGGCAATATGGTAGCAGAAAGTGATTAGGGGAAAGGAAGTGTGGTATTTCAATAGGACTGTCAAGGAAAGCCTCTCTGATAGGATGGAGCAAGGGGAAGAGTGGCCCGTAATGAGCTCAGTGAGCCAGGAGCCAGGTCGCTTAGGACTGGGAAAAACCACCAGGAGGTACTGAACACGGGACCAACGAACATAATCTTATTTACATTTTTAAGAGGACTCTGGGGGCTGTGTGGAGAAACACCACAGGCGGCAGGAGCCAGATGATCAGTTCACTGACTACTGCCACCACTCCAGGCAAGGGATAATGGTGGTGTGAACAAGAGAGGACTGCTATCTGCACTTCCAAATACGCTCTAGGAAGTATGGTGAGAGGAGGAAACCTAAGTTTTACATTTACAAAATGAAAACCACAGAACCCTGCCCTGATTACCTGCTGAAGATACTGTCCTTGTTCACCCTTCTCTGCAAACTGTGGAAAAGCCATGTGCAAAAACTGCAGCAGAATAATAGGTGGAATACTAGAAGAAGTTTTATCCATGGAATCAAACAAATCTCTAAGGGCTTAAAAACAAGGCAAACACTGCTTTAGTAAAATAGTGACATATTTAATACATGCTACTGTAAATTCTCAATTAATACAAAGAATTGCTTATTATTTTTAAGTATATCTATTCCTTTTGCAACTGATAGATTCCTAATAAGAAAAGGATTTATTTTAAAATCTTTTAGAACTTATCAGAAGACTGTGTAATGCAAACACTAGCTATAAACAACTTCCAGGCCCTGCCCTATGTCTCTCTCTCCTTGACAGCCTGTCTTCCCAAACAAAGCAGGGCATAGTCAGTCAACACAGAGGACACAGCTTCTGTTCAGGATGAATCAAACAGGCATAATGTCACAGTTCCACCACTATGAGGACATCAGGTCACCACCCCCCAACTCTCCTCCCTTTAAGCCATTCTTTGTTCCCATGTACTGAACTCCTGAATAGTGAAACCTGGAATATGTTTAAATGAAATATGTTTAAGGATTTAAACTGACTCTACTAAATAGCTAAGAACCAAAACTAACCTGCCTTTAGATGGTGGGAACAGCTTAATTCATTCTGAAACTCAAATGGGAAGGAACTAGTTAAAAGAACTTACTATGACATCCTCAACTACAAGTTGTTTAATATAAGCACTCCAGGTTTAATGAGGTGATGTTTTATAAAACACGTTTTATAAACAGAAAGATACTAAATAAATTGTGAGTGAAAAAAACATTTACTGAATACCGTACTCCCCCTTGAAAAGCAGTATTTAAGATCCTGACCTGCAGTGATATACTGCGCTGAAGCTGTTTCCCCTGAAGCTCTCAAGGCACCTGCATACCTAGGAACAGTAAGGCAGAATTAAATAGGAATCAGTTCATTTTGAAACTCAAATGGGAAAGAACTTGTTATGACATCCTCGACTGCAAGTTTCTCTGAGCTGTTCCCACCATTTTTCTTTACTTCTGGTCTTATTCCTTTAGTAATTATATGGGCAAAAAAGAAGTGCTAAGAAAAAAGAGGAATTTAGATGAATGAAGCCTACTTTACATTCTTTCCCCTGTCTCACTCATTAAAACATTTTCTCAAAATCATGTAAAATAAAAAAGTACATATTTATAGCTCAAAAACATTAAACCACAATTAATAAACCTACATTCAGCATTAACTTCCTATACAACATTAAATGAGTCGTTTAAATTTCAAGTCAGTTTTCTCACTATAAAAAGAGGGGTTTCTTCTATTAAATGATTTCTAAATTCACTTCAGCTTTATAACTCTCAGTTAATTTACAACAGTACAAAAGACTGGCCACCCAAAGGAAATATTCAAACCACAGTATTTACTCCTACAATGTCTTATGACAAAGAATCAGCATTCAGATGATACCAAACATTGAGGGATGGGAGAGACCCCACAAAGGTCATGTAAGATCAGTAACTGCTTGGGGAGTGGGGCAATGGAAGGGGATGAGGACTAACTGAGGAAAGGTATGACAAAACTTTCTGGGATGATGAAAACGTTCTACTAATTTGATTGTAAAATGAGTTAGAGAATTCGCATTTGTTAAAACTGATCACAAACACTTAAGACGCTTCTTGCATTTCACTAGATGTAAATTACATTTTAATTTAAAAAAACAAAAACTCTGCTTATTTAAGTGAATGAAAGAGATGATAGAAAACATTATGTTAAATCATATTCAATTGAAGAGTTTTGTTTCTTTTTTTCATTTGTTTAGATCTTTTGGAAACTGCTGCAACTAAAAACTTTAATTTTTTAATATACAATAATTCATAATATTGTTTATTTAAAAAATAAAAATCCTAACAGTTTCTCTGTCAGACAGTTCAACAACTTTAAAGGGCACTTCTGAAGTTACAATGAGGTACTCATAAAGCAGATGCAGCCCATACCATTACTGAAGTATGTAACCACATAACTGCCACTGGTACTGAATTTACTTCTAGTTATAGGGTAGCAAGAGTATGGAACTAGTCTGCATTTATGGCAATAGTTGCACTAATGAATTAACAATCTTTTTTTAAATAACTAAGGATAGGAAAATCATAGGTAATTTAATACCATCCCCCCCAAAACTCTCAATATTGTACTAAGAAAACATATCATCCCTAATTAAGATAAAACCACCCATTAAGCCAAATAATAATCACAGTGAACTTTACAAAAAGAAAACCAGTTAGAAAAGAGGAGGAACTGATAGTACTGAAATGTTTAACAGACAAAATAACTTAAGTTTTTACAGACAACAGAACTAATTTTTGTCGTGTCGATAAAAATTAAATGATACAAAAAATCTGAATGTAATTAACAAACTTAATGCCTATTAGTTTATCACCTTCAAAAAGAGGACGTCCTGACTTCTCTATCATCTGTGAAATATTCACAATAAATCAATCATAAATCAGATCAACTCAAACACTGATCAGCAGAAACATGATTATTTGGTGATACATGCACAGTGGTGTACTCTACAGCATGAGCAAGAATAAACTACAACTACACACATGGAAACACCAAACATAATAAGCCAGGCTCCAGTGAACACAATCTGTACATTGCCATTCATAAGGTGTTTAAAATAGGTAAAATTAATCTATGAGGTTGGAAGTCATGTGAATATAACAACTCTGGAAAGAAGGAGGAGCAGTGGATCAGAAGGGATGGGTGAGAGGACCTGCAGAGTACTAACAAGGTTCTGTTGGTCCATGTTGATTACAGGGATGTGTTCACTCTGGGATAAGTCATTTGTACATGTTTCTGTATATTATAATTCAATAATTAAAAAACTTTCGGGCAACAGGAAAAGATGAGATTTTAACATGTTTTTTTAAAAAAAATCTGAGAACAGACAAAACCCCAGAATTATGTATGTTCATTTCTATGTAAGAATAAATGATTCAAGCATGCAACTTAACTTAAAACTTAACAAAACAAACCTAAGGAAAGGAAAAAAAAAAAACTAAAGGAAAATAGAAATAAGACATTAATACAAATAAAAGTAGAATGAATCAGACAATTGAAAAAATTTAATAGCTCATTCTGTGGAAAATAAAACACACAAACCCTCAGCAAGATAATCAAAAGAGGAAAAAAATTAACAAATAAGAAGTAAAAATGGAGAAAAAAACACAGGTCCAAAAACAGAGTAACTCTCACATGCTAAAACAGTTGAAAGGCATAAGGCTAAATTCATAGGAAAACATAAATTACCAAAACTGACTCTCAAAGACACAGAAAATGGACATTTAAAATGCCAAAAAAATAAAAAAATAAACAATGGGGTTCAGCCAATTTTATGGGTAAGTTAAGAACAGGTCGGGGAGGGAGGGGGTTATAGTTCAGTGGTAGAGTGCATGCTTACTTAGCATGCATGAGGTCCTGGGTTCAATCCCAAGTATCTCCATTAAAAATAAATAAACCTAATTACTCCTCCCCAACAAAAAAATATTAAAAAAAAAAAAAAAGAACAGATCATCCCTCTATAAATTCGAAAGTTAAAGTAAAATAGCAATCCAGTAATTGCTAATGAGAAAACTGTTTTGTACTTATTAAGAGCTAGCTTGCCAGTCTCCAATAAGATAAAAATATTGCCATATGATGTCTTTCATAAGCAACTTACAGAATTTTCAAGGGTAACTTTTACCATATACACTTCCCACTTTAGGTTCTAAATTTAGAATTCCCACAATAAAATGAGGTTCCACTGCTGGGCAGCACCAAGCAAACCAGATTTTACCTGCACTATGGTCCTTGGCCCTCACTGCCTCTTGAGCTAATCCAGCCTATATTTCTCTGGAATGCACTTTCTTCTGCCCTTTATCATTATATATCTCACTTTCCAGAACCTGCCAAGTATGTGAAGATGAACTTCAGCATCTCCAGCTGCAGAACACCTTTCATGGAACTGGTCTCTCTTCTTTCATTTCTATTTTATCAGTTAGTGTCATTTTTCCAAAGATACACAACCCCATCCACGTCATCTATCAATTAAGTTAATACAGAGGCTTCCACTCTCTTGCAAAAACTTGAAATTCAAAAAATATTTCATTTGGTTTCAAGAAAATGGAATCAACAGAATGAAATCTGCCCTGCTTGTATAAAACTCAACTCCAAAACACGGAAGAGAGCTCTCCTTGGAACAGGTTATAATATGGAATCCCAGACAAGAAAAATAAACAGGAGGTCTTGGAAATAAGGCAAGTTTGTCCCAACTAGCCACTCTTCCTTCTGCCTATGGAGTGTGTGTCTACTTTTACTTTAAACTGAGCACCTAACCAACCCCTACACCTCATGGCCTTCCTCCTGCGATCTGAAACAGCCTGCACTCTGTGCAGTGTGTAGCTTTCTGAATAAATCAACTTTTATTCAAAAAAAAAAAAAGACAAACCATTTAAAGCATAGGCAAAGGATTTCATCAGACATTTTTCCAAAGATATACAAACGGCCAGTAAGCACAGGAAAAGATGCTCAACACCATTAGTCACTAGGTAAGTACAAGTGAGAACCACAACGAGATACCATTTCACCCTCAGGATGGCTATAATCAAAGACACACAGAATCCCAAGATGGCAGCCACCATGAAGATGATGACTGCAAAAGACGTCATGTTACTTTTGAAGATAAACAAAAGATAAATAAATTCACACAGAATACAAGTGGAATCACAGAGATGAAGGAAGAAATAGAAATAAAAAACCAAACAGCTCCAAAATTTAGAACACGTGCCTGTGAGGACAACATGTGCAGATTATGACTGCTTAACGATAGCTTATCAGATTGGTGGTGTTTTCATTAGCCATTATCAAGAAGAAACACAAGAAATAAATGTTAGAAGAAGCAAAGAAAATCTGCAAGAAACTGATAACTCAGAATCCAGAGTGGAATCACTTCAGTGGGTGTTAGCAGATTTGAAATTTCAGTTACATGCAATATTTGGGAGCAACATAAACCTTGAAGCAGAAGAAAGCTAAACATTTTATGATACTCCTAAAAATTTAAGGAAACCTGAATATTATTTGAAATGGAAAAAAAAAAGACATGCAATAACAAGACTGGCACAGAGATGAACAATTTGGGAACTCTCTTGCATTACTGGTGAGGATGTAAAATGGTGCAAAACATTTTGGTGGTTCCTCAAAATATTGTTTAACATGACATGAGTTACCACATGACCGAGCAGTCCACTCATAACCAAGAGAAATGAAAACAACTCATCTGCACAAAAACTTGTGCTTGAATGTTCACAGCAATATTATTTATAATAGCTAAAATGTGCAAAC